GAGGTATCTTTTTTGTGATTGAAGGCAAGCTATATATAGAAGGTTGCTCTTGGTTTCAACATTTGTGCCTGTTCTGCAGTCTGTGACACAGCAAAGGCTGATTAAGACCAACTGAAAGAACAGGTAGACAAGGTGTCAAAGGGCCTTAATTGACCCTGATTCTGCCAGACACAAACCAGGGCATATCTCATTATCTCTCTGGTTATGGTTGTTCCTCCTTTAAACAAAGGGACTAGACTAAACTACCTCTGAGGTACCTTACAGAGCCTAATATCCTAGCCTTCTACAGCCACACAAAAATTTCCACTTCATTCCTTTATGCATCCCTACCACCAGACGGTTCATTTTTGTGAGGGCAGGAGCTGTTTAATCTAGCTTAAAGGCCAGTAATATTTGAGTCAGTATATGAATGCAGAAATGAATTTTTTACCATATTTCATCCCCAGCTTGGAGTCCTGGTATGGCGCTGTAGGTTATTGCACCAGACTGCAAAGCCATTTGAACTGCACAGTTCAAACAACAATCCCCATCTTGGGAAAAGTACTGCTATTTTTTAATTCTTCCTCAAAGAGTACAATTCTTTTATAAAAAATCTTCCATTTTTACTTTACATATATATACTACCAGCCGCTCTGCGGGAGAAAGATGAGGCGTTCTGCTCCCGTAAAGACTTACAGCCTTGGAAACACTGTACAGGGTCGTTATGGGTCAGAACCAACTCGACAGCACTTAACAACAACATATATATACACACACACATATGTTGTTTTTGTTAAGTACCGTCAACCCATGGCCCCCCTGTTAAGACCCATAGCAACCCTGTATAGGGTTTCCAAGGAGCAGCTGGTGAGCTTGAACTGCCAATCTTGCAGTTCAAAGTGACTTTTCGGTCCAGCACATTAACCCACATATTTGTATGTATATATGTTCTTTGGGAGCCTGGTGGCTCCAGTTGATAACTACTGGGCTGCAAACCACAAGGTTTGTGATTTGAGCCCACTGGCCACTCCACTGGATAAAGATGAGGCTTTCTGCTCCCAAGAAGACTTAAAGCCTCAGAAATCCTTGACAGGGTCACTATGAGTCGGGACCAACTCAAGGGCACTTAACAATAAAAATAACATGTTATTTTTATGTTATAAAAAACATTATTAAAATAACGTTTCCAGAGTAGAGATGCTAAAGTAAATAGGAGATACGAGGATGTAAAAGAGCTGAACAGAAAACTTCAAAGGACAGCTTGAGAAGACAGTCCAATCTGAAATGTGCAAAGAAATGGAGTTTGAAAGCCATAAGGGATGAAAACACGCTCAGCATTTCTGAAGCTGAAAGAACTGAAGAAAAAATCCAAGCCTCAACTTGAAATATTGAAGGATTCTATGGGCAAAATATTAAATGATGCAGAAAGTGTACTAAGAAGATGAAAGAAATATTTAGAATCACTGTGCCAAGAAGAAATGGCCGATGTTCAGCCGTTTCAAGAGATAACCTATGATCAAGAGTCAGTGGTACTGAAGAAAGAAATCCAAGGTGTACACTGAAGACACTGTCAAAAACAAAGGCTCCAGAAATTGATGGAATACAAACTGAGATCTTTCTAGAAGCCAATGCAGCACTGGAGGCATTCATCCATCTGTACTAACAAATTTGGAAGACAGCTACCTGGCCAACTGATTGGAAGAGCTCCATATCTGTGCCCATTCTAAAGAGAGGTGATGCAATGGAATGTGAAATATCATCAGACAATGTCATTCATATCACATGCAAGTAAAATTTTGCTAAAGAGAATTCAAAAATGACTGCAACAGTACACTGAGAGCAAACTGCCAGAGGTTCAAGCTGGATTCAGATATTTGCTGACATCAGATGGATCCTGGCTGCAAACAGAATACCAGAAAATTGTTTCAACTGTGAAGATCATTACAAGCTATGGATAATATTGCAAAGAATAGATATTCCAGAATACATAATTGTGCTCATGAAGAACTTGTACATAGATCTAGAGGCAGTTGCTCAAACAGAACAAGAGGACATTGAGTGGTTTAAAATCCGAAAAGGTGTGCTACAGAGCTGTGTTCTTTCACCATACTTATTCATTCTGTATGCTGAGCAAATAATCCAAGAAACTGGATTATATGAAGAAGAACATGGCATCAGGATTGGAGGAAGACTCATTAACAACTTGTGATATGCAAATGATACAACTTTTCTTGCTGAAAGGGAGAAGGACTTAGAATACTTGCAGATGAAGATCAAAGACCACAGCCTTCAGTATGGGTTGCACCTCAATATAAAGAAAATAAAAATCCTCACAACTGGACCAGTGGATCAATGGAGAAAGGATTGAAGTTGTCAAAAACTTCATTTTGCTTGGATACACTTTGAACACTCATGGAAGCAGCAGTCAAGAAATCAAGTGATGTATTGCATTAGGCAAATGTGCTGCACAAGGCCTCTTTAAAGTGTTCAAGAGCAAAGATGTCAGTTTCAGGATTAAAGTGCACCTGACCTAAAACATGGTATTTTCAATACCTCATATGCATGTGAAAGTTGGAAAATCAATATGGAAAGCCATACAAGAAATGATGCATTTGAGCTATGGTGTTGGAGAAGAATATTAGAAGTTCCATGGACTTCCAGAAGAACAAACAAATCTGTATGTTCGCCAGGAGGGCGAGACTTTGTCTCTCATATTTCAGACATTATCTGGAGAGACCAGTGCCTGGAGAAGGACATCATGGTTGGTCAAATATAGGGTCAGCAAAAAAGAGGAAGACCCCCAATGAGATGAACTAGCACTATGGCACTGTCTGCAGTGTTTCCTTCCGTTGTACATGGGGTCACTACGAGTCAGAACTGACTTCACAGCACCTAACAACAACAAATATGCATGTACCAACATGCCCACACATAATTGTTCACTAATACACATACTGTTTGTTGTGCATAAAGTCACTATGAGTTGGTACCGACTTGATGGCACCTAACAACAACAATACACATATGCATACATTTTCCAGAACCAACTTAGCCATATGAAGAAAAAAGTCAAGGCTCAACTTGAAACATTAAAGGGATTCTATGGGCAAAATATAGAACAATGCAGAAAGCGTCAAAGAAGAATACAGAAAGTCACTGTGCCAAAAAGAAATGGTTCATGTTCAGCTATTTCAAGAGGTAGCATATGAGCAAGAGCCCATGATACTGAAGGAAGAAGTCCAAGGTGTACTGAAGACATTGGCAAAGAACAAGGCTCCAGGAATTGATGGAATACAAATTGAGATCTTTCAGCAACCTGATGCAGCACTGGAGGCACTCATTCATCTATACCAAAAAATTTGACACACAGCTACCTGGCCAACTGATTGGAAGACATAACCATATTTATGCCCACTCTAAAGAGAGGTAACCCAAAAGAATGCAGAAATTGTCAGACAATATCATTAAAATCACATGCAAGTAAGTGGGCTCAAGCATAGCAACGACTGTGAGATTGGCTCAGGACTTTTGTCCTGTTGTACATAAGGTCGTTATGAGGTGGTACTGATTCGACAGCACCTACCAACAACAGCAACAACAATAAACCATGTGATTCTGTTTTCATACAATGTGCTTGTTTTGAACTAGACCACAGCTAGTTCCTGACCACCAGGCCAAAACAAGTAAGACCCTATTCTCTTCTGTTGTGTGTACTGTTGAGCGGTTTCAGGTTCATGTTGTTGTTAAAGTGCCTTTGAGTCTGTTCCAACTCATAGTGACCTTAAATAGAGTTTCTGAGGGGCAGCTGGTAAGTTTGAACCACTGACTTTGAGGTCAAGTGCTTATCCTAGGGCGCCACACCAAGTAGGTTTGAACTATTCTGTTGCTTGTGCAGCACTGCCTTCAGTGCCATTTGAAATGTGAGACACACATAGTTAGGCACTTGAAAATTTAGCTAGAAAACATATTTCTATGTAATGTCTATAGCACACTGAAGATCTGAAATATTTAACTTTTGGAGTTTCAGTAAAAAATGCCAATAACTTTTATCATTTAAAGGTAGTAACACCAAACATAGCAGAAATTGAGATATGTTCTCAGAAATGAAGTGAGCATATAAAATTATACCTTGTTGCCTATAGCCTTGACCTATTTGCAAATAGACTGAAAAGCATGTTTTTCCTAAACAGATGTTAAGCAAATTTTGACTGGCAAACTATTTTTCAGAAAACTAGCACTTTTGAAAAAATTTATTTTGTGTGATGATGCCAAAGATACATTTATAAGTTGTTTTCTATAGTGGAGTTCTCCATGCTGATATTAAAAATGTTTAAGAAATGCAGATAAAGAATTTTGAAAACTTGTATACTTGAAGTACCTTTATCCAAATCACAGACATAGTTAACATTTTTTATAATTTCTTTCTCATTAATTTTCCCTTTGCAAATATTGAAACCTTTGTTCCTGAGCTTAGCGCATAATTCTTTGAGACATCATTTCTTTTTAACAAAGCATTGATAGGGTAGTGGTTGGGTGTAGATCTCTGATCTAAGTGCTGTTTTTTAATTCATTCACCTGTTTGAGATATTATTGTGTACTCACCATATACTAATGAGCACACATCCTTCTTAACTCTGCCGTAAACATGCAACTTGCCTCAGAGAGTACACACATACCAAAATGTCCTGGTAAAATGATGTTGTGGTACCCTTTGTGAAATTTACTTTTTCTCACTATATTCTATATAATTTCTGCAATGGATTCTAGGCACGGGGACTGTGTGAAATAAGATTTTAAAAAGAACACAAAAACAGAAACTAGGTGAGTCAAGAGTGTGGCCAGTATCCCAGCCTCCATGAATTGAATTAAGGTAATAATTATTTAAACAGTAATGATTAACATAAAGTACTTTGGAAGAAATATCTGGAATACTTACTCTAAGACACAAAGTGTTTAGTTGGTCTCTTTGTGATAACATATTGCAGGTCTGGTTATTAACCTGTAGGTCTTTTCTCCTGTAGTGATGAACCACCAACACCAGCAGCAAATGGCACCCAATAACCTGAGCCAGCAGAGCCACCCTACTCAGAACCCACAAGCAGGACTCATGACCATGCCCAATGCATTGACCACTCAGCAGCAACAGCAGCAGAAACTGCGGCTTCAGCGGATCCAGATGGAGAGAGAGAGGATTAGAATGTGCCAAGAGGAGCTCAAGAGGCAGGTATGGCCTTCCGTAGCACATAATGGCGGCTCCGTGGCCTTGGTGCCAAGACTAAGGGTATGTGTTTTCAATCATGGTAAACCTTTCTCGAGAAGCATGGAAGGCCTGAAGTCCTAATCCAGACCTCATGATTGGAGTCTAGTTTCTTCTGCAAACATCCTGTCTGTACTGTGTTGAGAGCCAAATTTATGAATACAAAGTCTGGTTATATTCGTATGACTGCCTTTGGCTTCCACTACTAGTCTTCAGAAAAAGAAAAGAGAAAAGAGAGAGTAAAGGGCATGTTTTAATTATCTATTGCTGTATAGCAAAATTTCCCAAAACTTAGTGACTTAAAACAATAACCGGTTTATTATATCACATGATTATGTGGGTCAGGAATTTGGGCAGGGCTCAGCTGGGCTATTCTTCGGCTCTATGTGGTGGTGTGGTATTGACTGAGGTCACTTGGTGGTATTTATCCAGTGGGTGGGCTGGTCTGAAGGGTCCCAGATGGCTTCACTCAAGTTTGTGGTGCCATGGTGAGGATAGCTGGAAGACTGGGCTTAGCTAGAACTATAGCCTGGGGCATCTACATGCGACATCTCCAGAATGGCAGTCTCAGATCTCTCAGAGACAGTGTTCTAAGATACAAGAAGTAGAAGCTGCCAGTTCTAAGAGCTTGACTCTGGAAACTCTCACAGAGTCACTTTTGCTATATTCTTTCCATCAAAACAGTCACAGAACCCCCTCAGATTAAAGCAGACAGTAGAGGAGACAGTCTCTGAAAGGGAGAACAAAGAATCTTTGGCCATCTTTACTTCACCACAGTATGTGAGAAAGAGTTGGAAAAATTGAAGAGAGAAGGAAAGTGGTTTGTATCACGACTTTGATAGCAAGCTTTGCAAAACTGCCTACACATGGATGGGGCTGCCTTTATGCCATCCACCATTCATTCACTTATTTCATCAGTTAACTGAATGTTGCTGTGTGTCTGCTGTGGATCAGGCTTAGAGTTACACTTCAAAACATGAATAAAAGAGAACCCTGAATGAACCCACAGTTTTCTCCCTGCTTCCGTGGCTTGGTCTGTGGAAGAGTATAATGCTCTCTTCTCTGTTGCAAAACTAATGTAACTCATAATTGCAGATCTCATAAATTCTGCTGGCTGCATTTTAGGGAGGAAAGCTTCAGTTTATTGTTCTAATTCCTCAGGCTTTGCTTTATGACTCATGTGAAGCAAGATAACATGGGTAGCTTCCCTTTTCTGGTTTATGCAAATAGGTGATTTTAACTGCTCCATAGAACTTTATTCCAGGGCCAGGGGTGTTAGGGTAAACACAGTTTTTGTTTTGCTTTGATTTTTAAGTTACATCTGATGTTTTAAAAAACATACATTGACTTCAATTAATGAATAATACATTTTTCATCAAGTAAGTTCTAGGGTCTATATACTACACCATGTGTGAATGAAAATTGTTTCTTAGATAAAGCTTTTGAACATGAGAGGGAAAAGTCTAAGTTGTGCTTTGTTGCCCAACTGAACTTTTCCTCTGAATTTAAGGAATACACGTCTATAACGTGACTGCAGTGGTACCCTCCCCTGAGGATTTGTGTCTGAACTTCCATGGTTATTTCAGGGTAACAGTTGTTTATACTGTTTTTAGAAATACAATATCAGGTTTCTTGGCAGGAAATAATTGTTTTATTATTTTCTGCCTTTGGATAAAGCTATTTGGACATTTTTTTCTAGTTTATAATGTAGAGTAAATTACACAGTATTATAGTAGTATTTATAAATTTCTAGTTTGTATTTGAAGGAACCTTAATTACTTTTTGTTTTGCTCTGCTTTTTTCACAAAGCTATGACGGTTATGTGCAGAATGATCTGTTTCTCAGTATCTGCCTTTTTCTGTATTTCTCTTTTGCTTGCGCCACCTCCTTCTTTCCCACAGAAAGAATTTCTGAAAAGGGGTGGGAGAAGTGCCCCAAATTATTGCCTTTATTCAAACTGTAGGTGCCTTTGAAGCAGAATATAGTACTGATGGTTCCTATTACAGAAATGCCAACGAAGTTCCTCAAGTGCTGATCCCTTAATGTTAAGGAACTTGTAGCATGTTGCTGTGTCACAGCACTGGGAAGGACAACAGCAGTAAAATGGTGTCCAGATTTTGCTGAAGAGTGAGAGGCTCCTTTAATTTTTGAGAAACAGAGCAGTTTGAAGGAAGAGATTGAATGGATGGTTCTGTTATCTTCTTTTTATTATGAGATTCAGGAAAAAAGGTCTAAATATACTTTTTTTCCAGGTGAAATTAACTTTAATCATACATTCTATGTAATCCAGTGTATTGAAACTATTATCATTTTAGCATGTACTCAGTATGCAACATTGCCAAAACCTGGTGTGCGTGTATTTAAGACTTATAGCACATCACAATTTGAGCTAGCTATGTTTCTTTCAGTACTCAGTAGCCACATATGGAAATGTATTGGACAGTGCAGTGCCAGACCACTCGAAGGGATGGCTGGGGTTGGTACCTTCATGGGTCCCCATGGGATTGAGCACTTACTGTGTGCCAGGCACCGTGCTTTATCTCATTTCAGTCTCACTCCAAGGCTACGAGGTAGGGAGTGCTTTACTCCTTTCTACAGGTGAGACAACTGAGGGTCAACGAGGTCAAGTGACTGGGCTGACATCTCCCAGGGGCCCATTAAATGTACTTTTTAATTGTGGATATTTTGATTCCCATTCAGAATCAGCCTGATACACTATGTAAGTCCATTCAGTCAATGTTGGAGTATTCTATAATAGTTCTTTGGGCGTTTTCCAAAACACCTGATTGTTCACGTGTGCATTATGCATATCATTTGGTGCTTTTGTGGTGGTGTTTATTTTTTAAATTTTTTGCTTTTGGTGACTCCCTACCTCACTATATTGTTAGAACAAGGCCAGGACAGTGCAGGAAAGTAAACTGGAAGTATTAATGACATCGGGTTTAGCTGCTTCTAGGCATCTGGTAGAAATACGTAGAGATTAGAAGGTGGTTGTCTTGGTAAGATATGAAGATTATCTGTAGAATTCTGTTTGTTCTGTAGAATTCTCTCATGCTCTGGGTAGTCAACAACTGCCCATTGTACAGTTTGTAATTAGCTTGTTCCCTTTTGTTCACAGAGGATTTCATTCGACTGCCTTCCAGTTTGGAAGCCCTATCCTTCGCTCTATCTTTAGTAATAAGAGAGGTTGGAAATTTTAATAAGTAGGTGAATTTAATAAGTAGATAATGACTGTGAAAATGTCATAGGAATCGTAGCGTAATGGTTACGAGTCAAGCTGTTAACCTCAAGGTCCGCAGTTCAAAACTACCAGCCATTCCATGGGAGAAAAATGAAGCTCTCTGCTCCCGTAAAGATTTACAGCCTCAGAAACCCTGTACAGGGTCACTATTGAGTCAGAACAGACTCCACAGCACACCACTACTACCATGTAAATAAAGAAGACAGGAGAAGAATCAGTGCGTTTGAATTTGGTGTTGGTGAAGAATATTGAAAGAACCATGAACTGCCTAAGGAGTACAAAAATCTGTTATGGAATAAGCATAGCTAGATTTCTCCATTAAAGCAAGGATGGCAAGACTTCCTCTCTTGTACTTTAGACATATTGTCCAAAAGGACTCGTCCATAGAGAAGGAGAAGGACATTGCACTTAGGAAAGTATAGGATCAACAAAAGAGATAAAGCCCTTCCAATGAGATGGATTGACATAGTAGCAGCAACAATGGCTCAAATTTAACAGCCATTGGCACAGGCCCGGGCCTTGTACATAGGGTTGTTATAAGTTGAAATCTACTCGATGGAACCTAACAACAACATGTAAATATTCAGTGTAATTTCTTCCTCCTCCTCCTTATGCTATGCCATTTTTCCTCTAGGGATAGACACATAGTTCTCACTTTTCAGCCATCTCATTAGCTGACATTTTGCATTTACAGAAGTGAAACAATCTATGTGTTTTGTGCATTAATGAATGTGCATCTGGCAGTAACATGCTAAGCTGTGAGTAATTATGGCTGTGATAGTTAAAGTGGTGTATCAACTTTGCCTGGGCCATGAATCTCGATGGTTTGGTAGATATGTGATGATGTAATGTAGCAGTTAATAATGACGTAGTTATCTTCCATTTTATGATCCGATGTAACATCCTTCATTTTCACATAATGCTGATATTTTACACAACAGCCTGGTCCTTGGGACCTAAAAATGTCATCAGTGAGGAGTGGGTGTAATCTAATGATGTTGCTCTGTCGAATAAACAACTCTTCAGCAACGATCCTTGTTAAACAATCTGACGTACATCTTACGATGCTAAGAGCTATTGTGCATTGTAATCATGCCAGGATATTAACAAAAATGAATTAAGGGGAAGTCTGATTATAAATCTAAAGTGAGCCTCCATCATTTCAGGATAGAAAAATCATATTTTTTTCATTCCTCTTTCCTTTCTATCTTCGTTTACTTATTCAGTCAACATTTATTTAATGGGAAATAATAGAAAGATAAATGGAGTATTTCTGCCCTCAAATCATTTATATCTTACCAAAGTAGACAAAATGATTAAATATGATGAAAATGGGTGGTCAGAAAAGTAAATTAAAATCATTTCCTTCTTCCTGAGGTTCTGTAGCTATGACCTTTGACTCTCATTTAATGGAGCTGAGTGAGACCAAGCACAGCACAGACTTCTGGGAAAGGGAGCATAAGATGTTTCTTTTCTTTTTTTTTTTAATGGCCCCTAAGGCCGCTAGATAGTTGTACAGATCTGTAGGATTGTGAATCCAGAGCAGTTAAGAAGTTCTCCTTATTGATTAGGAATCTTCTGAAGTAGAGAGTAACTTTAAAAAAGGACCCTACAATTTACCGGTGGAATCTCCTGGTGTGGGACTGTTGGGTAAGCACAAGATTGCTAACCACAAGATCAGCAGTCCAAACCCTCCAGCTGCTCCTTGGAAACTCTATACAGGGTC